TTTTTTTTTTTTTTTTTTTTTTTTTTTGCATCGATAATATTTTCGATGCGTGAGATTTTGTCAAAAAAATGTCGCTTGTCTGAAATAATACACGTTAAAAAAAAAGTTCCATTTCGATAGATCTATACGTGTTTTATATTTCACATTTACAATGAAAAGGAATTATATTCTAGAACAATTTATATTGTTTCGAATATAAATAAACGATTAATCAGTATACTAACGGAATGTTGTGTATTACAACAACAACGATTTCGAACGAATAAAACACGATTCGAAAATTAAAAGGATAATGATCGAAAATAATGGACCACTGCGAACAAAGTTGTAACAATATTGTAACCTGATTGAGAAGAAAAGTATTATTTGCCAATAATTGAAATTGGAAATTAAACGAATAGACGAGTACAAAATATATGTTCATTGATTATTTATTGCAATAATGATTTGAAACAAAGTACAGTCTATTTTAAAAGAAACATGTTTGAATATTTTAAATCGTTGTAAAAACATCGTATTAATTAATATTAAGTCGAAATGCTTGTTTAATTATTTAAAATTTTTAAACTTTTTCTCATATTATTCTCTGCAATAAATAATATGAACGAAACAATGTGTTCTAACAATTTCTAACAATGAAGTCGAAACCGGAAGTACAGTTACTTACTTAGAACGGTAGACACGGAATAGAAAATGAAACGTAACCATCGTACCTTTTAGTTATTCGTGTTTCCGGGTTACGTTCGTTTCATTCTACTTAATGTGTCTATATTTAGAGAAAAAAAGAAAAACTCGAAATTACGAATACAGCATTTGACGAGATGAAATTGGTTTCGCTGGGTTTCCGGCCTTACTTGAAAAGTGACTTAAAAACGGGGTCAAACGCGCCTCTCTTTTTTTCTCTCTTTTTTTCCTCGTTTCTTTTTTTACATTGAGGTCGCTTTTCAAACGGTATGCACCGGGCACAATGTATAACCGGTGGGATTAGCACGACTAATGTCGCGTTCGTTAGCCGCGCAAACAATCCGCCGTGCCGACTTCCACTTCCGGCGCCGCGCGACTCGTCCGCTCCGTTTACGATATGCACTTCCTCCGATTGCCCGTATTTGTTTCCGTTTCCAATGAAAGGCCTGTTTTTGGTCCGCGAGAATGTTGAATTCGATGAATAGATTGAAAATGAAAAAAAGAAACAAAACAAGGGAAAGGATTCGTAAGCTT